TATAAGTTGTGTTACACAGACGTATAGGTCGATATTGTTGTATAGTTTGAGCATGCCTTACTTTTGGAACAAGGCATATATATGTTTGATTGAGTAACGGGGGTATAACTCCAGTATTAAAAATGTCATGGCAAAAATGCCTAACCTTGTTACCAACATCAGGCCAAAATTTTTGATAAAAGAAAGGATGAAATCCACCTGGTCCAGGTGCTTTATAAGGACCAAAGCTAAACATGGCATGATCAATTTCAGTGTCTTGAAGAGGTGCTAGCAGAATATCGTTGTTAATATTATTTTGTAGATTAAAAGTCGAACTGAAGCTAATATTTGTTGACTGATTTTGCTCAGTCGTAAAAAGATTCTTGTAGTAAGAGAGTATGTGTTCTTGAATAGTTTGCTGGTCATAAAACCAATTACCTACAGAATCTTTTAGTGAGGAAATTCTATTTCTCTTGCGCCTTTGTAAAGTAGACATATGAAAAAATTTCGTATTAGCATCACCTTCATTAAGCCAAGATACTCTTGATTTAAGCTTCCAAAAGTCCTCCTCCATTTTGAGTATACTACTAAATTCATTATTCAATTGAGTTTCTAAGTTTTGAAGGAATGAACTAGTTGGGTAGTGAATAGAAGATTGAATGCCTGCTAATCTAGCTAGTATTTTTCTTTTACGACTGAAAATGTTCCCAAAAGTATTATGATTCCAAAGTGTGACTATTTTCTGAAAAATAGAGGTGGTTTCCAAAAGAGGAGGTGTATTAGTCCAAATATTATGAACCAACTGTTGAAATTGCGGATGCGATACCCACATAGTTTCAAACCTAAATATATTCCTAGGAGTATATTTCCTATTTTCTAAATTTATTAACAAAGGACAGTGATCGGAGTATGTTCTAGGTAGATGCTGCATTGTAGCCTCAGGGTACATATTAATCCATTCATAATTAGCTAAAAACCGATCTAGCCTTTCTAGAATTGTATGACCATATTTTCTTTTATTAGTCCATGTAAAACGACTACCTTTAAATCCTAAGTTTATTAAATTGCAATAGTTAATGCAATTTAAGAATCTATCTGCCCTAGTAACATTAACAGGTAGTCCTCCAAATTTTTCATTAGAATATAAAATATCATTAAAGTCACCTCCTATTAGCCAAGGATAATTAAAATTATCATGCATATCCATTAAACTTTACCAAAGTAAATTACGTGACCGGTATGAATTACTAGCATACATAGCAGATAACAACCATTTAGGTTTAGAGGGACATACCTGGACAAGACAGTGAATTTCTTGCTCAGATATCCTCATTTCCTCCACCCCAATCAAAGCCTCATTCCATAGTACCACTAAACCTCCTACTAGGCCATTAGCAGAAACTTAGGCCATGTTAGTGAATTCAAAAGCTTGTCGGAGTTGTTCATGGTCCTGCATGTGTGTTTCTAGAAGGATTACTAGCACTGGTCTATAATTATCTAGTAATGATCTAAACTGACGCCTAAACTCAGGACTATGAGAACCCCTACAGTTCCAGACGATAAGATTCATGATATTAATCATGTTTTGTGTGACTGTTGGAGTAGGCATCAACGGGTTGACCATTGTTGATGTTATCTGAACCTGAGACTCCAATGGAGGAGGAAGTTGACGAAGGGTCGGAATGATCGCCATCGAGTATTTCCCTACTTCTCGATTTGTTGTTACCCGGAAATTCAGGCTGCATGAGATCATCTCTGGTGGACACTTGAGTATGAATTTTTTTGCATACTCTTCCTTTAGATTGTAGTGATGAATCCCTTTTAACCATAAGAACTCTATCCTTGTCTCCCTTATTTCCGCCAATATTTCTGCTAGTTTCTCTCTTGTTTGCATGTCTAGTTCGTTGGGAGATGGAGGTGGAGGTGGTGGTGGACTGCCTGGTGGAGAGTGTGTCTTGAATGGACTGATTGGACTGGAGTATGGGGAGAGAGGATTGAAGAGGTTAGATGTTGAAACCATGGTGCATAAATCTGCCCCATGTGGTGTGGTGGGTAAAATGGTAGCAGGTTGGTCGTTGTTGGAACAGGGATTTGCGACTTCATTGGGTAACTCCATTGGTGGGGATTTGAGGTTAAGGCTTGATGCTCCAAAAGTAGGGGGTTTGTGTGTTGTACCATTGATGCTGAGTGTACCCCTCCATCCCCAATCACATTCCTTCTGTACTATCTCTGCCAGGTGAGTGAGGTTTTGTACAAGTAGCACAACCTCCTGGTTGTTGAGTTCCATCGTAAACACAAGAGCATACCCCTGTAATCCCATCTCTAACCAAGACTGAAGAGGGAGATCCATTGTGTTCGCTTGAGATGTGTATATCAGGGGTGTGTTTATGTGTGGAAGTTGGGGGCCCTACATATGCAGACGAGGAAGATGAAAAAATTGATTGTTGTCCATGTTACTCGGATAAGTAGGGTTGTAGTTTGTTGGGAATGTTGGTCTTTGCATTTTGAGTTATTGAAGTAGAGGAAGCTGTTTTAGTAGTGTCAAGAGCAGGAGCCTTTTGATCAGTAGTAGAGTGATTCAAAGAGAAGTCGTTTGGATGATTAGTAGTCTGTTGTATCTCAGTTAACAGATCCTTGTGTGTAGCACATGGATAGTCATTATTTTGTTTATCTTGGAATTGAGGTTGGCTAGCAGTGTAGCCTACTGTAGCATGCAAATCACTGTAGCTACTACGTACGTGGATCCTAGATGGCTCTACAAGGCCATGTGAAGAAGTGGATTTGTCCTTAATCTGTTGGTCAGAGGAGATATTATGTGATGGGTCTAAGGTAGTATGACATGGAGGATATAGCTGTATTAGCGTGTTAATAGGTATGGTATGGTCATTTATGCTTAGGGGAGATATAGGGGAGTAAGTATTGTTAGTTGGTGCTGAAGAAAGTTTATTGGGTGTTAGTGGCTGATATTTCCCAAACTGTATTGAAGAGAACTTATTTATGTTGGGCTGGTCGGGTAAAGGAAGGGCCTTAGTCGAAGTGTCTTCCGTGATAGGGCCTTTTCATTTTGTATTGTCCAAGTCCATTTTGTCTAAGTCAGCCAATTTCTTAAATTTGTTACCAAGCAGGTCGTTTGCAGGCTGTTTCTTTGAATGTTTCTGGGCCTTAGAAGGCCCAATCTCAGTAGGTGATGTACCAGCTTGTTTGTGTTGCCCTGTCTTCACCGCCATCTGCGCCGCCCTAATATAGGCTGTGTTTCCACCATTGCTTTGCGCTGCTTGGATTTCCTTGGAAAACTCACTGTTTTCCACTCTGTTTGTTGTGTTGAATCAGTCTGTGTAGATGCAGAAGGATTCAAAGCTGGTTGATTTACTAGCTTCTCTGGTGTAAAGAGACAACCTAGCTTTGTATGATCAAATCGTCCACAACTTGTGCACAATAGGTTCAGACCATATAGTAATATTTGTTTGTGATGTCCTATGAAGACATATGACTTTAGTGTTTTTTCCAGTGGAACCTCAATACATATCCTCACATACTTGCCCCTCGTTGTAGAGGAGGTGCAAGCATCAACCTTTAGTAGCTGTCCCAATTTTGATCCCACGTTATATAGTATTTGCTCATCATAGAATTCAGTTGGAAGCTCTGGTAAACGAACCCATATTGCTGAATATGTAAGTTGTGTGGATGAGGCAATGAACTTTGGCTCCTATTGTCTAACCGATAGGAAGTGATTCAGAACAAACCATGGCCCTCCATGTAAAGCCTTAAGCATGTTTTCTTCCTTCTGAAATTTTATGAGGAAGAAATCAGATCCTAGATCAATGAGAGGTAGGTCTTCTGATGGATTCCATAAGGCAAGGAGTTTAGTTTGCAGTATGTTGTGTGCTATTTTCCTACCAAATATTTTAACTATTATTGAGTATTTCCAAGGACTGTATAAGCGGCATTTATCTTCAGTAGTAATTGGTATAAAGATGTCGTCATCTTGATTGCACCGGAGACTTTCATCAGACAAGTCTAGTTCAAGTTCCATGCTCTGTTGTATATAAGGAATTGTGGATGGATGTTTGTTAGATATTAAAGTTTAGAGAAAGGATGGTGGTGGAGTATTTATTTTTTTGTCCTCAATTTGCATAGCACCTATATCAGGAGGTTCTTGAGAGGTTTCATCAAAGGAGTCTGTGTTTATGGAGTTATTCATGGCTGGTATATACGTTTGTATTAGTTACAGAGGTTTGGCTGGTATATACGTTTGTATTAGTTACAAAGGTTGGTGAGGTTGGTGAAGAGTTTGAAGGAAGTTGTATTGGAGGAAGTTGTATTGGTTTTCTAGAGAGACTCTCACATCTTTCTAACTTTAATTATAAAGCTAAATGATGCTAGAGAATCATATTTAATATGATGCTAGAGAATCATATTTAAATTGTGAATTATGTTTTTATATAAATTCTCTTTCAAATAAAAAGCATATTAAATAAGAGGAGTATTTAAAAAAATCAAATTATAATATCGAAATTCTTTCAAGATTCATTACTCCTTAAAAGATACATATAAGATATAAGATTTCGTATCGAATGCATTAATTTTGATGTTTGAGTTGTAACGACTTTGTAGCTAATTTGCATATTATGATATATGTTATAGTTTTCCTATTATTCATAGTTGAATTATAATTCATAAATAATTAAATAGATTATTTGTTATAATTTTGTGATTTTAATGTAATTTTCATAATTATTTTTTATTTTATGCTATCTTAAAATTCTTAGAATTAATAATATTTAAAGATCCGTGGGACTTACGCCCCATGTCTCAGGGCTTACGTCTCGCCTCACGTCCCCGCCTTTTAAAATATTGGGACAGATAAGCACTGCAAGGCAAGTGTTCCAGTTGCAGCTCACAGTCAATGACCAAAGGACAAATAATTTGATTCTCAAACATGAAGTCTAAATTGCAACTAATGAATTATTTACTAAACAAATACTGCGATACCACATACCAAAAACACAATTAATAATGCCTTAAAAATGAAGACAACAGAGGAGCCCTGGTGTGTTTTCGAATTCATAAAACAAGTTGATTACATCAAAGTGCAACGTGTAGTTGACAACGCAGTCATCTGAAATGTAGAAGAGTATTTTGAGGTCCATGACAAAATTGTGAGCCACATCTATCAGCTATTTTCTCAAAGCTCTTCTACTGATTACCCTAAATATGACAACTCTATTTACATCATATCCACTAATACAAACATGTTCCACAGCTTTGTCTAGAGGGACAACATGTCAAACATCAAAGTTCATCTATAGTATACAATACATCAAGCAAGATCCCTCAACGCAGCTTGCATTTACACGATGAAAAAGTTAATTTACATCCTAAGAAAAAAGGGACGTCCATACATTACCAGATCTCTTCAAATTTCTCGCTAGGATGTCAAGTTTCTCCATTTGTCCTTCAAGTCACCCTGAACAAAAATGTCCGAGGCTTCATATGTAGGAGTATTATATATTGTGTTATAAGATTAATATGAAATGCACTTACCGGAGTCCTATCTTCGAATATTTCATGATAAGTATCAAAGATCAGCCTCCAGTTTCCGACACCATACCTTCAAGAGAAAAACACATAAATTAAGAGATAAACTTGTGCCCATATTTCTATACCATGAAAAACTTCTATAGAATAGATTCAAGTAAATACATACTTCTGCACACCAGACCTCAAAGTTTCTTCTTCAATCGTACTCCATCTCTTGGATTTCCTCCTCTTTGTAACTTTTTTAAATTCATACTTCTTCAAGGGGAAAACCTTCGTCCTCCTGGGGGTAGGTAACATAAACCTCCTCCCACTACTTGGTGATCCTTCGCTTAAGTTATCGATTGAATCGTTCCACTGTTACATTTAAGAAATTGTTCTCATAAGTAAAAATTAAACTGCCAATCCTGTATCATTTTATAATAATTTCCAAAACAAGAACAAACTTTTTCAGCAATAAATTCCAAACATTTCTAGTTCTCATATCCAAATGACTCCAGATAATCTACCAGGATTCTCTTCTAAGGACCTCAATAACACAGTTCAAGAAATTTGTACATTGTCAAATGAACGGCAAAAAATCATATCTCTACCTAATTACGGCACAGATCCTTTGCCAAAACAAAAGCTACAGAAACCTCTGATCTAACTTATGATTTGACAAAAGATCCATTTAGTTTCTTCTCACCCGATGCAAAAAACAAGCCGTGATTTCTTCCAATTCACCTAAGCCTTGATAGGCAGAGTTATCCGGTACTTGTATGGTAGGAGACAACAGGTACCTTGTGGAATAGTCGAGATGAGCGTAAGCTAGCTCGGAGATCACCGTTATTAAAAAAAAAAGAGCCATTTAGTTTCTAGGCTATGCCAACGGAGCCTGTTTGGGTTCTCTGTCTGAAACATTTATAGCATTACTATGGTATCATCAACAGTACCAAGCGTCACAAATAGTACAAGTAGCAAAGATATTCATGAGCAAAATGATAATTCAAGATAAGGTGGAATAATCCTTGCTAAAATAAAATACTAATATCATGCACTAATATTTAAATGATTCAGAACCCCCC